TATTTCCTAGTGTCATGTGGTATTTCCTAGTGTCATGTGGTATTTCCTAGTGTCATGCAATATTTCCTAGTGTCATGTAGTATTTCCTAGTGTCATGCATTATTTCCTAGTGTCATGCAGTATTTCCTAGTGTCATGCAGTCCACAGACTATCCATTAATTTGATCAATATTGATTACTTACGCCAATTATTGTCTAAGTTTTTGATCAGACTAAGGTAATTCATATTCAAAAAACTCTTATTTATGATATATTTGTTGTATTGATGAACTTGTCAGTCTACCTCTACATACGGTATCCCCATTAATTTTAGGAGCTTCTTGCATTCCTCACTATGCTCTTTTGTTACTCGAACCTGAGACAAGTCACAAAATTACTACATGTATTATAATATTTTTGTAAAGTCATATCAATTTCATTGCTACCTACCAAGCGTCTTGAAAATTTGTCAATGTTTTCAGTTTCACCAGCTTCTTCGGCCTTTTCCAAGGCTTTCTGGGCTTCTTGCCTTCTTTCTGTTCTTTTAGCAAGCTGAAATTACAACAAATGATAATGTGGGATAATTCATTTTTAATTTGGCTGTAATCCCTCAAACATTGACATAACTAAATGTCACTCAACTTAGCATTAATAACAAGGTCATAGTATCCTTTGTGTGCATGCATAACATGTACAGTTATGGTAACTGACACATTATTTTCTATATTATGTCATAGATGGACAAATGTGTGTTTGTGGTGTCATTAACCAATACCTCTCCAGACTTGAGTTGTGGCGGCTTTCCATCAAAAACATACCTACAAAACAACAGCTTGCATCATTGACAATGATTACATATACAAAATAATGTCACTTGACTTACACTGGTTTGATTCCATTCTCCACCATTCTTATTGTTCTGTAGAACATTCCCATCAAGTGACTAATAATAGAATAATACTCTCAATTATTGATATTATTGTTTGTTAGATAATATGTGCACATGTTTATATGGGCTTCAGTGATTAAACATCAAGTCACAAGATTCACTTATAGAGATTCAATGAAGCTAACAATGCTTGTCAACATAGTTTGACTCCGGTTGTACGTACCTAGTAACCTCTCCTGATTCATTGGTCAGTTGACTTCCATCACTGCGTACAGCTATTAAGAACTGATAGATACTCATTGAGGCATCAATTGCCACTTTTCGACCTGAATAAAAAGTGAAATACCAGCTACATTTTGAAGTTAAGACATGAATTCAAGTTAGAAGAACTTTGGTCGTTCATCTTGAAACGTTTCAGCTTATCACAATCTGAAGCGAAATAACTGAAATCACTTACCAAAATAGTTCTTAATCTCATTCTCCCTCATCCCTGACGGAGCAATGTCGCCTAGAAGCTTGGACAGACCGTGAATTCCCATGTTCTATCAGTTATTTCTTTCTTTTCTTACGAATACATGAAGTCTACTGCTAGCCGACCTTTTCCCGCCAAAAATACCTTCGCGCCAGCCAGCGGTGTTTCCTATTACCAGTACTTTTCTTCTTCAATGGTACAGGAAGCCCATCACTTAGTAAAAGGACAAAAACAATGCGATGTTCATTTTAGTTTCACGCTGAAACTCTGGAAGCCTCGCACTGACAGATTTACAGAATCGACTGACAGTGTAGCTATTACAAGGAATGTATTCTTTAAATTTTACGAGTGGGAATATTGTTGCCTGGATCCAATCCAGTTATCTTATGAGTAGTTGCAGGTGTTGTGGAGGGACTCCTTCCTTCTGTAATACTGATTTGAATATTGCATACAGTGAAGAAACTGAAGCAATCATTTAGAACATGGCAGTTTTACCCCCGTGAATTTTTACCCAGCATCGATAATCACGGTTAAACCCTGAGCCTGTTTCAGAGAAAAATCATTGAAATTAAAGAATCATAACTAACCGCCGTACCTTGCGAGCCGAAGCGCCATTTTAGGTGGACATGAAAATGGCAGATTTGTAGGATTTCTTAAAGTTAGTGCGAATCATCTTCCGTCCTTTCAGTTTGGAAAGAAATACCTTGAACTAAGTACGTCACAGGTACTATTAATCTATAATCTATTGTATGCTTGAAGCATTTAAACGTACGTCAACAATAATACGAGCGCGCAAGGTACGGCGGATGGTTATGATTCTTTAATACCCTGTTCCAGAGTAAAATTGCTAAAAACGATACCCTGTTCCAGAGTAAATCGGCAAAAATGATAGCCCGGTTGGCTGCGCGTACCCATGGCATATAGCGAATATAGGGGAGTACCCCCCAGGAGTTTAACACCACATTAATGGATGTCATATGGGTGTAGAGGGTTTGTTTTGAGAAATACATCCACAGAGCACAGGTCAGATCCAGGATTTTCTTCAGGAATTAAGAGATTAAAAGAAATCATCATTTTCAAGTTTTGTTTCAAAAAAATCGTAAATTATCCAAATGCACTCACTGATGGTTTAAGGTAAAGTATTGGCGCATAAAAAAATGGAGTTTTGAAAATAGCCACAACACGTGTCAACACAGCCTTAGAATGGGCCGCTGCATTGTATTCATTACTGTAATATCAACAATAAGTTCTAAATTTTGAAACTTTCCAAATACATACATGAATAATTGCTACATTTAATCTGCCGCTGGATTGCTGTACTTGCTTACCATGAAATAAAAGCACAGAGAACTCCTTGATAGGCTAGAAGCCTCAAGAGTTTGGAATTTGAAATTCCCTGAGAAAGGCCCTTATCAAAATAGTCAGAACAGGCCAGAATACTAGCCACTAATAATATGCAGCCCTAGACAGACAGGACACAGTTAGACTGTCCTTCCCTCCCACTCTTTCCACTTGAAGGCAACTATTACATGCAAAGCAACAAATTATACCACACAAATCAACCTAGAATTTGTAATTATCATAGTTTACATTTAAAGCTTTTACTAACTCCAACTTAATCTAACAATTTAACATAAAATACTAACCAAGAACTAACAATACATTTACATATAGAAAATTAATGTTCTGGGATTTTTCAGAGCATTTTTTCGTATTTCTTAGATTGTTTTTACAGGTACTAGGGATATCATTTACCCTCCCCTCCCTTCAAAGTCTTTGCATGATGCCATATTGGCTAGTAATCATCGCTTTCCTCCTCTCAAGGCTAGTACCAGATGAAGGACTGAACCCCCCTGGATYTTGTAATCAGCAGCAGTTTTTTCATCATTCCTTAAAAAACAATCCACGATATAAAGTAATTTATACAAAATATAATACAAAGGGTCTAATGTCATACCATGAATATCATTTTATGTACTTATTGACTAAAGGTGGTGGGACCTGTAGTATACAATTTTCCTTCAACAAGTCGTAGGATTTTAAGACGTGGTTCAAAATCCTACTAAGTTGTAGGTTGTGTACGACTGTTGTAGACAAGTGGTAGGGGCATTTACACGGCTGGATTTGGAGCTCATTTAAGTCGTATACTACAAGTCGCGTGTGACAATCATTCTGTGTAAATTGGCCTTAAGGCTCAAGGTTCTCCACTTGCACCATCTTTTTCCAAAGACTTGCTAAGAGCTTGATCGGGATTTTCAAGGACTATTGTTGAAGATATTTTTTCATGTTTGTGAACGTTTCAAAAATAGCCACATTTCAATCCATGTCAATTCCATCAGACTCAAGGACGTTTCCAGGAGTTTTAGTGCTTTTTCCCATTTTCAAGAGCTTTTCAAGTGTCCTTGAAAATGAGTTTTCAATCCCAGGACTTTTCAAAAAGTAGCACGAACCCTTTCACACTAGTAAAAAAACATTTACAGCTACTGTAACACAAAGAATTCAATCTTCTTGGTATAGACTTTACTTAATATGCACTAAATGCATTCATGACTGACTTATCCCCAGACAGAACATGAGCAGTTTCATAGCTATACTTACATTTGTTTTCCGCTAAAAATAAGCCTGAAACAAACAAACAACCAAACGTTAAGGCTATCATTAAATAATAAGATTGGATCAAAGAAGCATTGCTGGTGTATTACTTTCADAAGACCCCACCAAAGTTGTAAGGAAAAATTTGAAAGAAAGAACGTCACACATTAAGTAAATAACTAACTCTGATGGTGAAGGGTTTCAGATATTTTGATTCATTTGACGTTTGTACCTTTGCTGTGGAGGTGGAATCCCTTCTTTTTCCTCGACACGTTCTTTGATTCTTTCAACCTGTATAAAACAATCGCCATATCTGTGAATGATGTTTTCCTGGTCCATGGCAGCTACTCTTAACTACAATAGCACATGTTACTAAATTCAAAAAATATCATGATATTTGAAACTTACTTTGTCTGTAGGTTCTATATCGATTTCAATCTAAAAGAGAAGAAGTTATTTCTCATTATAATTTGTACAATAACGAAGGCAGTTGGAAAATCCAATGCACTATCTTACCTCTTTGCCTGTCAATGTCTTGGAGAGATAAAAAAAAACGAAGTTAGTACTTAATTGCACTAACATTCTGCCTTTTGTTAAAAATGAGTTCCTCTTTACAGCTTTCTTACCTTTACTTTAATCAACATACTTGAAATAAGGATAATTTAGGGGTTAAATTTTCATCAAAGTCTACTAAATTTTGCCTTATTTTTCGCCCTTTTATTTTTAGGGACTGGTACTAGTGGGTTTAACCGCTGACAGCAAATGGTGCAGTAGCTTCTCATCGTCTCCTTCTCTTTGTTCCAGAAGCCATTTTGGAGAGATTGTGTCTCAGTCACAATCTGAAATCCACTTCCATCCTGTTCGAATAGCTACATATTCGAACAAACGACCATGTTTCGGCTACTGGATAAGTTTCTCTTCCTGACTCTCCTGTTTTTACCCTCAACACTTCTACTCTGCGGAAATGGTAAGCATTTTATTTTCGTAAAACTTTTTTTCTTGTCACAGGTAGCTGTGTTCGAATAGAGTAGCAAAAGTAAGTTACCTTTCTGTAATGTCTTTGTCCGATGATGTCTCAGGCATTTGGACTGATTGTTCGTGACTTTGTGAAACATTGTTTAATCGTTCTTGTTCAGAATATTCTATTTTCGAGGGCGTTTTGTCTTTGTATTTAGTTGTATTCTGTTCAAGTATCGGTCATCGTTCCTTGCTCTCAAGCATCGAACAGCAATATTATCACAGGTCACGTAACTTTGATTATATTGTAATCACAATCTGAGGACATACACTTAATCCATCGTTAAGCTTTATTCCCTATATTAGTTCCCACGTTTGTTTAGCAGTAATATTTACTAAAAGCCGGCTTGTTTTTGTCTACGTGTACGTGGCATTTGACCATTTGCCCGGCGTATTGTAGTAGTCTTTGCACAAGAAGATGAAACTGAGGATGAACCCGAAGCTGCTCAAGCAACTGCTGACGATACTGAAACACCGTCCGAGGAAGAAGATTCCAAGGTAAGAAAAATCGTGAATGGAGTTGATAGCGGCGGTTATAATAAATTCTTCATTGATGCCGGGTCACGTAACGCGTGCGTCCTAGTTACAGACCCGTGTAACGCTATCTTCTCCTCGCTATGAGTCCATTGCATTTCTTAGATTTTAATGTAGGTTTTAGTATTGCATTTCATTTTATGAATTTTCTTTTGTGACTGCAATAATAATTATAGCAAAAAACAGAAATATTGCTTGCCTTGGCGATGTGTTATTTGTATAGAAGAATATTTTATACCCTGTAATAGTGTTTGTATATATTCACAATCATTGCTTTGTTAGGGTGAAGAGGAAGAAACACCAAGTAAAGATACATCAGAAGACACTACACAAAAAGATGCAGTGGTAGGAAAATGACTCTATTTTACTCAAGACAATTTTTCTACACAAACTCTTGAAAACTATTTGGTGACAAAAAAGTTCTTTAGTTTCATATATTAGTAAGTGGTTGTTTTGGTGTGCTGTTCTTTTCAATGTCTTGTGTTCAGCTACATTTAGACTTGGTTTAATTAACAAGGCCAAGGTAGTTCACATGGTTCACCTATTAATCTTCAGTCAAACATAATACATCTATTGTAAAATACTGTGATGATTGATGGATATTTGTTGATATCTCCACAATTGGCATGTGTTTCTCAAAGAAAGGAGATGGAGATGAAGAAGAGAAGGAAGATCAGCTAAAGTCATCACCAGATGCTGACTCAGTCATTCTTTTTAAGAAAAAGGACCAGCGTGAGTAACATAGCATGTGTACACCACTCTCTTGGAAATACAGTTATTAACAAAGTATTGATCATTTCTCAGAGTTCACCGCTGGTATCATCACAAAGTGTTTGGTCAGCTTTAGCAATATTGGAAGAAATGAATTCACCATTGAGATGATGGAGGCTTCACTAAGGTAAGCCCAACTTTTACATGACTGATCACAATTAAGCAACAATTGCATTATACAAAACCAGGAATTGTGCAACCATGCCATTTATATAGCCTCTTCCTGATAAGCAAACAATTAATTTATGGAGAAGATTACTGAAATTGGTAAAGTAGTTAATGTAATTATCGAATCAACAGGTATCCTCAAGATTACAGCTATTATATTCAAAACGTAAGTCTACATTTAATCTAATAGTATTTTGGAGTACAATTGAAGAAAAAGATAGGCATACTTTGTGAACAGATCTACTTTTCTCATCTGCGGTAAGGAAGAGAAAAAAAGCTCTGCTTTTTCCGATTGTTATCATGTTAAGCATGACGTATATCAAGTGTCAATTAAGAAAAGAAATGGCAGTTGATAGTTTTTGTGTGTTTAGATCTAGAGTCTAAATCGTATAGTTCTCGAATAAATCAGAACACGCAAGGTGTTAATGACATTGATGTAAAAAACAGCTTTTCAATCTATAACCCATAATGTTGACATCCAGAAGTTTGGTTGTAATAATTGGATGTCAATTGAGCCATTTCTCTCTTTCTGTTAACATAGTAAGATAAGCATCAGTTATTGCAGTAGATAAGGAGTGTATTTTTAATGTTTGATATTATCCACCATATTAATCACTGATAAATGATTTTGTAAAAGTTATTCATATTCAATGTTCTTTTCCAGTTCACAGCATTCCAATACAACACAGTAGTAAAGCCTGGTGAACAAGTAGGTTAATACTTGTGATTTGTAGTCTTGATACAGTATAACCTTTTCCTGATGTATTTATAGGGAAACTTTGAGTATGCATTCCAGCCTCATGAATCATTTGGTGGACGACCATTTGGACTTTCCATTAATTTACTGTACAAAGATTCTGTAAGTATCTGTTGATAATAAATACTTTCATAGAGTCCAATCAAATATTGCAATAAATTTTAGTGTTGATTTTCAGTAGTTTTCTAACAATATTAGCCCTATAAAAGTGAGTGTTTTCTTGGTATATTTTTTTATTCCATTTTTTATTTCCATTTTAGGATGGAAAGCCATTCCGTGATGCAGTTTTCAATGAAACAATCCAACTTGGCGAGAATGATGATGGAATGGATGGTGAAACGTAAGACATTTTTTCCTTCAGTTCTTTGATTTTGTTTTGGTCATCATGTAGAGTTGATTTCGTATGGTGGTGCAAAAAAACACGCCAATACTCCAGTTTTGAGATCTTATTTGTGCAGCCTTAAGCTCGAAAGTAGTAATATATTCTGTTTGTCAGCAGAGATCCTATTGTAATGCAAACACTCTGTTATAAAGAAGACAATAAAGTATTATGCTTGATTGCAGCTAAGCTTGCACAAAAGCAAATTCAAAACTTGAGTATTCCATGGCGTCACCATACTTGCCGTGGCAGTGATGTGTTCTTGAATCATTATTTTTGGCATCACTACATGACTTTGCTCAGTCATACGAAATCCACTCTAGTATATTATTGTCATTATAACACCAGTCTGATACTAGTAATAATCAGTTAGCAATGTATGACTGTGCACTCTGGTTTCCCTGACAACTAAATTTGACTTTTATTGTTAGATAATTACACTAAAGAACTTGCTTACCTGACATTTTCATATTATCTATTATATATTATGTTTTCCTACGAAATGCTGTACTTATTTGTTCATTGTTTGTCTTTAGGTTTTTCCTCTATATCTTTGTTGTTGCTGTTGGAATTCTATTGGTCATGGGTGCATATTATGGTCTAACATCAATCAAGGTAACATTTATTATCATGAATATGTAGGTGTTGAAACACTTATATTATGGTGTTATTTTAGAGTGTAAAGTCAACATTCAAACAGCCCACTGTAGAAAGAGGAACTGTACAAGATGAAGATATTGACTATGAATGGTTACCTAAAGAAACTACTACAGAATTTGGTAAGAACCTACATTTTCCGTGGGTTTGTTTTCATTATTACCATGATATGAAAAAAAATTACTTTTGACCATGATTTATGATGCAGGTTGCCAATTCTAAGAATGGTCAGACTTTTTGTCCATATTTGTCTAATTTATACCCTGATATTGTAATCATCAATAGCTGACTTGCGAATTACGCATCAATAGTCACATACAAAGGAATCAAGACGAGGCGCTGTGCTAAAGACAATAGATTTTCCCCAAAAAAGCACGGCGCCTCGTCTTCATTCCTTTGTATGTGACTATTGATGCGTAATTCAAGTCGGCTATTACTGTCAATTAGCAATTAGTTTAATATAATTTGAATTGGTGCTTGAAATGTTTTTAGACTTTTCTTTGTAATTATTGTGCAGCCCCATTTTTGGATTGTTGAAGATTAATTTGACCAGATATAGTATAATAATGTGTCCAAAAAGTATTTGACAGGCTTTGAGTTATATTTCTATTTAATTCAAAGTCATAACCATATTGTAATACTTATTGAATAAGTTGAGAGCAAAGAACTGTGTACTTTGTCATGTTGTTTTGATAGATATCGTCAATGTTCTGTTATTTTGAGCACTCTGGTTCAATCAGTGTCAATTTTTTAAAAATGGTTGATTCATGACTGTTGTTTTTGTTTGTTTTCAGTGAAACACTCTCCAAGACGTTCACCGAGAAATAGAAGACAGAAGCGCAACACAGGATCAGATGAATAAATGTTGTGATTTTCTTGTAGTCAATCTTTTATTATTACTAGTGAAACCTTGTGTGCATTCCCTACACAAATGTCTAACATACCACTACAGACGACAAATTATTGCCTGCCGAGCAGACTTGATCATCAGTTTGTGGTGACTGAAATGACTGCATCAGCAGTGGTGATGTGAAATGGGTGTTTCTGGCTGATATTTGATAACAAAACCATCGCACAATGTCAAATATTTTCCAAAGATTACCATTGTATTAAAATAACTTATACAATATGATGTTTGTAGAATTTTTAAAAGTAATTTTAAAGAACATTATAAGAAAATTGAGAAAAGAATTATGGAGGAATAAACATTCTGGTGGCCTTCACCAGATATGATTTCATCGTGAACATTCAAAGACTTGCATGTTTATATTAGTGATTATTAACCAGGATCTGCAGTGAGGATCAAGAGTAATAATTATTCCAAGTCAACTAGACAAGTTCTTATTTAAATGATACTTAACGTGGAATCAAGCTTGGTTCACAAAGGCCTGGTCATGTCAGCTCAACCCTAAATAATTAAGTTTAATAAGTCAAGTGAAACAGTGTACCCTGAATTTTTGACCCACAAACTCTATTAAGTTCATGTGTGGCTTCCCTTGGAAAGTTGTGCTTGGAACTGAATGAATATTCTGACTGAAAAATACTAGTTGGTATTGAGTACTGTAGTTGACTATAAAGTCAAAATGGAAAAAAGCAATGTTATATTGACATCAAGCTTGTGGTATAAAATATGTGTATTTACCAAACACAAGACCTGATTGTTGCATACAGTCATGAAATATGGTTTAAAATTCAGTTATGGTTACTTCCGTTATCGAATTAAGATATTGGGAACGGGAAGGGTTTTACATTTGCTACATGGGTATGCTGCGCTACAGGGTATGGTTTTCAGCTTTTAGGTATCCTTTTTGACATTTGTGTCTAGGATAGGATAGGATTTTTGTCTGGGATAGGGTTACATTAAGTAGTTTTGAATAGCATTGCAGTAAATTGCTTTTTTTTACAAACTGTGATTTTGCATTTCATTGTCTTGGCCTTATTTCCTAGAAAACAAGCTTGCAGCTGGTATATATTTCATTTATTTATTCGTGCTTTGTTTTGGATTTACAAGTGTGGGTTTCCTGTGTCAATTAAGGCCAATTACCTTATTTGGAGTCACCTAGTAGTGACGTATTTATTACCCGTGTGATGCACGTGATCATAAAATCGTAAACAACATTACATCATCATTCACGACAACAACAAACGAACATCTCAGGCCAAAGTACGAACACCACATTAGTCCGCTGCAATAAATTCACTTAACTTCGTAAATAATGAGCGACGGTGAAGATGGAGGAACCGTTCAGGTCGAGGACACAACGGAGAAGGAAAATATCGAGCCTCCAATGAAAAAATTGAAAGTCGAACCGAAGAAAATGGATTTAGAAACTCGGCTGAACGACATCTTGAGCTGTAACGTTTGCCTAGCTTTGCCTTGTAAGGCGATCTTTCAGGTTAGTTTCCTTGGAAAAACCTTTTCAAATCAATGTATACAACTAGCAAGGCGTATAAGCTTTGCTGTTATTTATTGATTATTTTTGTCGTGAAATATCAGCATTTTAAAAAGCACCAGATGCCATTTGTAGATCTCAAGTTGTCCATACGCAAAATTAATAATATCAAGGGAGTTCCACTTTCGAACATGCCTTGATTAGTTCGTTCTTGCACAGTTAGAAAGGGAGAAAAACCTTGATAATAATATTATATACGTGTTACAAACAAATATTTTGTTGACATTATGTCAAGAACAAGTCTGTCTTCGAAAAAGCAGTTCGATAAAATCTCGACACTTCCCACACAACATACTTCAAATTCAACCTCTGTTCAGCAACATGTTCTCAAATTACAAATCCACAATTTGCAGTGTGAGAATCCTGTTTCTCCTTAAGTACAACAACTGCATTGATGTGATAATTTTCCCTCTCCTAATATATTATATTTCGATGGCGTTCTTAACATGCTTGTGAACAAAAGGTGTTTTTGTGGTTCGTTTCTTCATATCGGAAAGCAAGAGATATTTTCACGACATATATTCAGTATGGCCACATGAATAGTGTATTTTTGTGATGCTTAGAAACTCATATATTGTTAATGATTGCGGTTGGACTATCGTAAATACCAGCTTGAAAGATGTGATTTTTTCGCTTAAGAAAATAGACCACCATGATCCTGAACAAAAACATCATCAGTAGAAAATATTATCTTGGGCTCGTCATGCAAATTGATAAAGATCCTTTGGATAAACCTATTATTCACTTTGATCTCTGATTGGTTACTTGCCTAATCTTTGAGATATCCCCACTAATGTATTCCTTTGTGTTTTTCTTGCAGTGTCCACATGGGCATCTCATGTGCTCTAGCTGTTTTACACACCTACTGGCTGATGCAAGGTTGAAAGATGAGCAAGCAACTTGTCCTAATTGCAGGACAGAAATCAGTCGCAACAATTGCTCTCGCAACCTTGCTGTAGAAAAAGCAGTGTCTGAGCTGCCTACAAAATGCCAGTTTTGCAGTGAACAATTTCCAAGGATTCTGATTGGCTCACATGAAAGAGAAGACTGCAACAACAGGTAAGTGTTTTTAACTCCATTTTACAACGTGTCTTCATCTTGCTTATTGTATTGACAAATAAAGGTAACAATCTCAAAGCCTCCGTGTTGTTGATTTTAGCTGTTAGATAGTCTGTTATGTATACCAATCATAGCTTATATAACTTTTTTATTTACCTAAGCTATATAATATTATAGTTGAATAAAACTGAAAAAATACCAAGGGTTTTGTGTAGTTATTTCCCCTGACTGATGAATCCTAAAGCACCATGAAACACTTAATAAAAGAGGATAAGAAATAAAGCACTCTGTGCCTGCTGACAAATATCTCAGTTATTCATACAAAGTAGACAGGTTGGAATCTAGTGATATTTTTAATATTGTAATGCATGTGTAGTTTAATACAATTGAATTGAGTTTATAGTTTGAAATGTATTATAGCAGTGTTTGAAATTTTCAAATAAAAAGTTTCAAAACAGAACCATATGTTTTATTTGTGTGCTTAAACAATGTGTGTAATGTGTGTGTTTATGTTATATAGGCTCTCGACACCACATCGACTCTTTTCCTTAAAAAAGTCAGTTGGAGTCAGTTGTAAGAAGGATGGATATCTACTCCAAGATTTTGAATGGATTTTATGTGCTAGCCGATAAGGATTTATGTATGTCCTAGGTAGCACATGAATTTTACGTGCTAGCCGATAAGGATTTACGTATGTCCTATAGGTAGCACATGGATTTTATGTGCTAGCCAATAAGGATTTACTGTTACATATGTCCTAGGTAGCACTTTTCATCCTTCATATAACTGATCCCAGCAAAATAGCAAGCAGTGTATCCATGGATTTTCAACATACAAAAGGACCTAGTCGATAGATTTTTAATGTCCCCCAAATGGGGGTGTGGGCCCCCCATTTTTTGAACTTGTATCTTTATTAGTTTATTTGCTGACATGTTTGGGCATACTTTTAAAGACCATCATCAGTGCCAGTGAAAAACAAATAGCCTATAGTGTATTATAAGCAATAAAGGATGGATTGCTGTGCATGCGTTTATCTTTGAAATAAAAGCACACAGAATGCCGTGAGAACTAAAAGATCAAAAGCACAGTACAACACCCCAAGTGCTTCGTTCATTGATAAACGATTGGCAATCCATCCTTTATTGCTTTATAGTATAGAAAGTTAGTCATGATCAAATTGTACCAATCAGAGCTTCATACTATCTGCACATCCGTATTATAACTTATATCTTTCAAATTGAATACACATTCCAATTGCTAGTCCTTATGTCTGTTAATCAATGATGATGATGGTTAAGTGATGAACTAATGGTTTTAAGTATTGGTTTCAAATGACAGTAAAATGAGCAGTATCATTATTAATACTAGATAACTCTCTAGTAGAGACCTGAGAACAACCCTCTAAAGTATGTCATGTACCAAATGGATTTAACAGATTAAGAGATTTTGATGACTTGAATGAATGTTGTAATAGTGTATATTCACTGTATGAAGAAACCTTTTTGTACCTTATTCTTACGTGATAAATTTCATTCATTCATTCTTTCGTTCACTTCTGATCATTGGCTTACAAACCATTCATAAAAGAATGAATGAGTGGACGAGTGTAGAGTCTGTTGTACAACTTTCATATATAGATGTCTATATGCATGGCTCACCCACACAGAGAAGACATGTGGTTCCTCGACCCCGTTTTGGATAGGTACGTGCCGCCAGCGGTCTAAATCCCTGACCCTGTTTAAGACACTAGAAAGTAAAAATCCATACCCTGTTCAAGACAAATGGGAAAAATAAGGAATAGCTATCTACGTCGCAACCATCAAAACTGCAATTATACTGACATCCATCAAAGACAATAAGAAGTTTTTGATAACACGTTAATCCTGGGACAGTGAAACGGTATTTCTACTATTTCTACGGTGTTGTGAAAATATTACCCTGTCCAAGACACACA